CCTTGCCAAATGAAGAACTTGAAAGAAGATACATGAAGCAATACGCCATTGTTGACCAACAGCAAAGTGACATTAAGGTAAGAACTGAAGATTGCCGGGCACGATTAGACCCTCGAACAAGGAAAAAACAATTTCTCCGCTAAACTCTTATGAGCTTTAATGTCCTATTGTAGAACCTGAAGCAAACTCTTTTGACTACCAAAGCGGGTATGCAATTCATGCAGATGAAGTTTCATGAGGAAATGCATAATATTGGTAGGGATATTGCACAATTCTCTATTTTTTTTTGGTTTATGTGCATTTATTGAAATGAGTTTGTTTCCACCTAATTATGCCTTGCACTATAGGCATGCACATAAATGGCCTAGCTCATGCAGCTTCTGGTTATCATAGAGTTCTTGAAGAAAATCGCAAGCTTTATAATCAAGTTCAGGATCTTAAAGGTAACATTCTTATATATTAGACCATCATTGTGTCTTTCTTCATCTCTTATTCAACCATGAACTGAAGGTTGTCTGTTTTTGCTCAATTAGGAAGCATAAGGGTTTACTGTCGAGTAAGACCCTTTTTGCCCGGGCAATCTACTTGTGCTAGTTCTGTGGATCACATAGAAGATGGCACCATTACAATAAGTGTTCCGTCAAAGAACGGAAAAGGGCGAAAGTCTTTCAACTTCAATGAAGTATTTGGATCCTGTGCTACTCAAGGTAAATGGCAAACATAGAACAGTATAGAATGTTGCATCCGTAATTATTGGTAAAATGACATTTGTGTTTACCTTTTATAAAAATTGGCATCTATACTTTTAATTATGTTATCCCTCAACTTTCTTCAGTGGTTTTTACTTGTCTTACTTTTTGGCAGGCGAGGTGTTTTCTGATACACAACCACTGATAAGATCAGTTCTTGATGGCTTCAATGTCTGCATTTTTGCTTATGGCCAAACAGGATCAGGAAAAACCTATACAATGGTTAGTTAAAGAAAAATATTTCCATTTTAAATAAAATCATATTTTCTTTGTTGTATGTGCTAAGAAGCTCTTTTGTTATATTCAGACGGGGCCTAAGAATATCACAGAACAAAGTCAAGGAGTAAACTATAGGGCTTTAGGCGATCTATTCCTTCTCGCAGAACAAAGAAAGGATACCTTCCACTATGATGTGTCTGTACAGATGATCGAGATATACAATGAGCAAGTTAGGGATCTCCTAGTTTCTGATGGTGTAAACAAAAGATATCCTTCTCAATATCTTGTGACTTATGTTTTGATGATCTTTACTATTCCTCTTCTGCATATTGAATGTTTTGCATCAACAAACATTCTTATATTCAAAACTTTTAAGTAACCTTAAGCTATATGATTTTATTATTACACATGTTTATTCTAGAGCATCGTGCTTAAGCTTCCTGAGTTCCTTAACCCATAATTACATTAGAAATCCGTAGTGCTTCTCAAGGACTAACTGTACCAGATGCAAGCTTGGTTCATGTAACTTCAACTTGCGACGTTATTGATCTGATGAATTTGGGGCAAAAGAATCGTTCAGTGGGTGCAACAGCACTCAATGACCGCAGTAGCCGCTCCCACAGGTTTGAATGCAGAACCTTCTGTTTTACTTTCTAGATTCTTTGAAAGAAACTTGTCGTGGAGATGCTGACTCTATCAGTGTATCTGGTTTTGAATGTGCAGTTGCCTAACTGTTCGTATTCAGGGACGAGACTTGACTTCTGGAGCTATTCTTCGTGGTTGTATGCATTTGGTTGATCTTGCAGGAAGTGAGAGAGTCAACAAATCTGAAGTAACAGGAGATAGGCTTAAGGAGGCTCAGCACATTAACAAGTCTCTTTCAGCTTTGGGTGATGTTATCTCTGCCCTTGCCCAAAAGAATGCACATGTCCCATACCGTAACAGCAAACTTACTCAGCTACTGCAAGACTCACTAGGTAGGATATAAGTTTAAATGATGAAATTTGATTGTTCTTGCGACTCTTCTCTTTCTGTATAATAAAGATTGGTTTTTTTGGGATGTGACTTTATTGTAGGAGGGCAAGCCAAAACTCTGATGTTTGTTCACATAAGCCCTGAACCTGAAGCTGTAGGAGAAACAATTAGCACACTTAAATTTGCAGAACGTGTTTCTACTGTTGAACTAGGCGCTGCACGAGTAAATAAAGACTCTGCAGATGTCAAAGAGCTCAAAGAACAGGTATTCAATTTTTTCTCCTTTTTCCTTTTATCCTTTCATATTGCTTTTGTTCCGAATCTAAGTTGGTTTGTGCTAAAGAACGATATCGTTGTTTTATCAGATTGCAACTCTTAAAGCTGCCTTGGCAAAAAAAGAAGAGGAGTCAGTTCCCATGCAGCATATAATGAGCAGTCCATGTAACATGCAGCCATCGCCCTTTCAATCTAATCCACAGAAGAGAGAGAAATTGGCCGATTCACACATCCAGAGGAGACCGATGGACGATGTAGGCAATATAGAGGTAGAATCTCTGGACTTGGTTGTCTCTCTAAGTGCATTTGTAGCAAAATGCAAACTCGTGAATGGAAGAATAATTTGTTGAGTTCTATTAGTGTTTCGTGGTGTTTTAGCTCAAACAATAAATAGATAAGGCAATACTTGGAAGCAGTAGCTGAGTCGGGATGTGTCAAAATTTAAAGAAGTAAATACACAAATAAGTCAAGGGGATTCAATACATAGTGTGTGGGGTGTATATANTTGGACTTGGAGCTATGTGGCTCCGCCCCTGCTCGGAAGAGCATGAGATTGGAATATGTTTATACCAAAACTAGAGCGTAAGACGCTGTTAGTAAAGTTTTTTAGGAGCATCCATTTTGATGCATGCGGTTGTAATCTGCAAGAGTTTGCTTTTGACATCTACTAAGTTGCAGGTATCAAGTAATTCTGCTTTCAGACAAAAGACGCAAAGCTTTGACCTTGATGAGTTACTAGGAAATTCCCCTTCCTGGCCACCGGTCAACAGTCCTTGTGAAAACTATGTGGGATATGATAAAGACATGGGCACAGGTGAGTGGGTAGACAAAGTCATGGTGAACAAACAGGACTCTATCAATGGAGTGGGAAAACCCTTTGTATGTTGGGAATCTGAAAAAGGCATGTCTGATGTCTTTGCTCAGAAATATCGTTCGGAATCATCTAAATTATTATGCCAAGAAAAATCGAGTAATCTTTTCCCATTGAGTGACCACTTTGACATTACTCCTGCTGATGATCTTGAAGAATTTGATGCCACGACCAGTGATTCGTCTGAGCCAGATTTGCTTTGGCAATTCAATAATTCCAAACTGAACAGCTTCACCAATGGGAATGAGTCACAGATCCAGAGACCAAATGCAAAGCATGTAAAGAGCCCAGAAACAAGGTATTCTCATTTTCATTTTTTTTTTTGTGATTTATTTGCACTTCAAGAATAACATAATAAGTAGTTAATCAATCAATCAACTGTATTTCAATCCCCAAACTAGCAAGGGTCGGTTATAAGAATCCTCAATATCTGTTCTACTCTATTCGGGCTCATTTATCTTTAACATTTTGTTTGCTGACTGTGGCAGGAACATGGTTTACAAAGGAGGGCCTTCGCCATCACGAAAGACAAATGGAATTGGGCACACACCTCTACGGAATGGGAGGCAGGCCGTGCCAACTGAAATGAAGCGAAAAGCAGGAAACAGGAAGTAGGGATGTGAGCTAAGCTGCTTCCAATTCTTTTATTATTATTATTATTATTTTTTTTTTTCTTTCTGTTATTATGAGAGTGAGTGAGAGAGTTGTTTTACTTTTTCTAACACAGAGTCTTTGGCCTATATGATTTTTTTCACTTCAAAATGTGTATTTTGAGCATGTGAAAGAGGCAATAATTCCATTGCGTGTAATGTTCACATCATTAGATTTGTAGAGTTCCAGTTTGTTGGAAACCTTGGTAAGTAGCAATATGAAGATCCTTAAAGGCTGTTCTACTATGACATTTTTTGGCACATTTGAGGATTCGACATGTACAATTTGCACATATTCGATAGTTTGATTGTCTTCCATTTTTTATAGTAGAAAACCAAAGTTCATTATGAATCCATTATTTTTTTTTTCTTATTCTTACTTTTGTTGATGTCCTGGCTGTACAGATTATAATCACCCGTCCCTTAAGTTAATAGTGGGAAACAATTTTGTCCAAGGTATGTTTAATGATGATATTATTGATATCAATGAAGACAAAAGTAGATTAAAGACAGATTATTAAGAGTTGGGATCACAAGCAAGCAAAATTGAACAAAACTCTGATCTACAAGGGGGGAAAATCAGTAATTGAAATTGCAATGTTCAAGTTCGGATTCCAGTGACCTCATGATCACCGTTAAACTTAACTAGTTAATTAAGTATGTGGCGCGAAATTTCATGTCCTTAAAAATAGTGATCTACTCCCTCCGTTCATCTTTATTTGTCCACTTTGGACTATTCACGCCTCTTAAGAAATAATAATTGTAGTATATATTTTACCATATAACCCCTTATAATGATAGCGTTTTAAAACGTCATGAGAACTAATTTGGGGAATAAGTAATTAATAATAAGAGTAAAATAAGAAAAAAGAATTTGGTTTTCTCTTGATTTAATATAGTGGATACGTAAAAGTGAAAATATATTTTTAGTAAGTAAAAGTGAACGGAGGGAGTAATATGTTTCACAAGGTAATAACCTGTGATTCGTCCTAATTAATTTATTTTGGGTTGTCTCAATTAACTTTTTCACTCACTTAAACCATAAATAAACATATGTACCCAACACATCCTAATACAAATCCTAACAAGGAAGGCTATAAAGTGCATGAAACTTGTGGAAGGAAGGCAGTGACCACATAAGCCCTACCTCCTTGGATCACCACACGACTTGTTACAATTTGTGGGTAACATTTTGTTTCGGAAGTCCAAACATTTGCTAAAAGTAGTATAGTAGTAACATTTGTACTGTCATGTTAAATTTAAGATGAGAAACAAGGTCTAGACTCTAGAACCTTCTCCTGACTCAGCTTCCTTCCACTGCAGGGCCAGGCTCATGTTATTTTTGTGGGGTTCGCAACTTCACTTAGTTTCTCTACCTTTTGGACGAAACACATGATTATATATATATATATATAGTTATTAAATTCATTTCTTGCACCCACCAAAACCTTAACAAAAAACAACCTTCTTTTCTTTGTACGCTGAAACCAGGCAGTAGTATAGTATTATATTCACCAAATAAATATCCCCCCCTTTTGTACGCTGAGAAAACGGAAGTTATGTCTAACAACAATGCTACTATTCTGTTCTTGGAATCTGTAAACAAGCCTCAGATTCTGATATTCGCTGTGCTTACAGAAAGCTTGCTCTGGTATTAATTAATTTGAAAGCTAAAATCTTCTTGATCTTCATCTTCTGCATGCAGTGCTTAATTTGTCTTATTAATTTATGTGTGTTGTTAAAGAAATTAAATGGCACCCGGATAGATGGATGAAGAAGGATCCTTGCATTAAGGGAGAAGCTAAACATAGATTTCAGCAAGTTCAAGAGGCTTATTCTGGTATGCATCTCAATATAATCTCCCTCCCCACCAAATGCATTTTACATATATATATCACATGCCGATCGAGTTCATAGTGCTCATTTAATTTTTTGTTCTTGCCTAATAGAATGAATTTGTCATTTTGGTTGCGTTCGCGTCGAGTTCAAAACTGCACGTATGAATCATATACCATGTGATTTGTTTGTGTTCTATAAAACTATTGCACTTCTTTGAAAGTTCACCAATCTAGAATTTTGTCAGTCCTCTTTAATTCGGCCCTCTGTCATGTCATGGGAGTCACATCCGATTAGAGGCCAATTAGCATATAAACGTACGGCCGGGTATATTGAGCCCATTATTTTGGACGGAATATGTAAAATATTACTCAAATTTTGACTGACACGTTAGATATTAAACACATAATTTGTAAAGTTTAATGCGTTAATTAATAAAAATTTAAAGCTTGCATGCACCATCAAATTTAATTAAATATATCTTGGATCTGCCGCTGATGAATAGTGTTCGTCTAAGCGTATATGTTACATTGACCTTGTATTAATTAGTTAATTAATTTGCAGTTCTGTCGGACAAGAGGAAGAGATCACTGTATGACACAGGGTTGCTTCACCTCATGGGAGATCGATGATATAGTCAGTTTCTTTCTTCTTCTGTCTTTCCCATTTCAGCTGTAACTTATATGACTAAACTGTGCTTTTGATGCTGCAATTAAAGAAGTAACTGTATTTTATTGTTACTCCTATGTTAACAGGAATTCTGCGAGTTTATGCAAGAAATGATAACAATGATGAAAGCTGAGAAATCTAGTCTAGGGTATTAATCTTCCTTCAGTTTCTGTTATTTATGAACGTGAACAATACATGTCTTTTTGATGCGATTAAAGAGAATATTTTGTAATTGAAACAGGGTGCGAACACCTTCAAGAGCTGTTATTAGACATGCATGACGGGTGATATTGATGAATCCCTTCAACCAAAGCGAAGACGTGTGTGTATATGATCGATTTCAGCCTCTGAAAATGAACAACCTCTTGGTCTTGGTCGGGAGCACTTCACCCCTTTAATTAGTGTGTCTACATGACGCCAATACAGAATACTCTAACAAAAAACATTACTCGTCCATCTATATATGATCCTTGATTATGTATAATCTATTTTGTTTATTTTATTCCATTTTCCACTCCATCGATATCTTTGTTTAGTTCTAATAGAGAAGGTGATCTACTCTTGCAATTACTCGGTCAATTTTTCCCAACCAAATGTTGGGATATATACTATTAACCATGGATTTTGGTTTGGATATAGGATTTATTATGGAATAACTATTATTTAAGTTTAACAAAATTTTAAATAGATCATATATTCGTCTGTGTCCGTTACTTATATAGTAGATGATTTAGTGTATACAATTTAGCTTACACACGGAAGATTAAATCATCGGTTCTTATAAGTATAAAGATCATGTTCACAATCTAGTGATGGAATTGGACAAACCATCAGGAATGATTGTAGCACAAGATTAAATATAATTTATCTTGATTATGAGAATGGTTTAATTCCGACTTCTTGTGCTAGTACATTTTGTATGTATTGAACGGACCAAGTAGAGATAATTATTTTATAATGACTTAATAAAATAAATTCTCTAGCTATTAAATGTACTTATACTCTTAATCTTGATATAATTATTATTGTTGTGTATATTATTTATTGTTTTGATTTACTAAAAGGCAAGATTCTTTTGTGGGTCAATATGCCTGGTAAATTGGACAATGATGATATATATCGGCGAAGTAATAATTAGTTGATGTAATTCATGTCTCGGTCTAGAGATTGATGATACACCTTTATGAAAGCTTATAAGTTTTCATGTGTAAACCCTGCAGGTGGATTTTGTATCCGCCACATGAAATAAGTTAAGCGAAGGTCTAAAGGAAATAATCAATGAATTAAATTGTCAGTAATTTAATTTATTCGATTAGTATCTGAATCTTAACATGGGGAGTTAAATAATGTTTAATGAAAGAATTTTGAAATTGCACTGAGGAGTGCAGTTGCGAATTTTTAGTGGAATAATTCGTAATTTATTATGGTAGTATTAATTCGGATATTTGGAATTAAGTCTATAATAGGAAGCCTCGTTAATTAAATATTGAGGTCCCTGCTGTGACCGAATAATTAGGAATTAAATGGAATTATATTTCTTGGTGGAAAAGTAAGACCCAACAGGTTTAGGAAAAGGTTTTAAACCCTAAAACCTGTGGCTATATAAAGAGGTTTCATTCCATAAGGAGGCTATGTTTTTATATACAGTTTTCCTAGGAGAAACTCGCCCACACGAGTTTCGCTTATTCCGGTCATTATTCGGGTCACACAGTAGAAGACTGTGGAACTGGAAGATGATCCCATGGACGTTTTCGCTCTTGCTTGGAGGCTCTTTTCGCGGTCGCTGTCACGCTTCAAGAGATAAGTATCGATCTTGTGGTTGATTAAAATCTGTGATTATGTATTGTCTATATTACATGCAAGTGATCCTAACTATTTTTGCTTCCGCTGTTCATACCTGTTTTCCATCACCAAACACGTGATAACTCATCTTTTTCTTCTCTTCCATTTTTTCTTCATTTGTCTTCTTTTTCTTTTTGTCCAGAGGGGAATTGAATTACAGTTAAATTGCTTCAAGTGGAAATTAGAAAATTAATCTTCATTGTACTTGCAATCTATTTGTTTCAACCTCCATTTATTTATTTATTTCTTCTGAATTATAGTTTGCAGATAAAACACTACAACAATTACTGATATTTTGTTAGGGGTGTAATAGATGTGCCCTAGATCCAATCTCATATTTGATAATTTGAACATATTTTTGTGAACATTATTTCACTTAAAATATATATGGCATCTGATATTCTTTTATCATAGTTATTATTAATTGCTTGATCAATTTAATAAGGTCCTTGATTAAATTTTGAGACTTACCATCGTGATGGAGATCATGATAATGAGAGTGAAGTTTCTTATAATTTAATCCAAATTTGTTCTTGATCATAGGATTATTAATTTAGACATTAGTAATCCGGTTAGATCAATATTTATGTGATCGTCTTTATTGGATAAAGATTAGTTGATCTCATTAATTAAATCACATAGATAGATGATGCATATAGAGATATGGTCATTGAACCGACTCATTGGATAATTTCTAATGGTTAGAATTACCATAAACTGTCAATAGGATATTCTCTTGAAGAATGTGATGTAAGAGTTTCCTTTAACCTTAGATCGTCATAGTAATTGACAAGTTATTTATTGTGCTTTGATACTAGACACCTATGACCCTAGGGCGATAGTTGAAAGGATATTGGATATGATTAAATGCTTGTAGAATTAGTGATTGATCAAGATGGAATCTGTCAACTCTTGGTAATGAGTTTAAGTTCCATGTTGTCATGAATTATAAACGACCAAAGTAAGACCTTGGCCAGGGCAATTGAATGAAAAGAAGAAAAAAATTTCTTAGGTCATTCAATGGTCGATTATATTTGACATGCACACATAGTTGGTCGCCTATTAGGATTTGACAGTTGAACCATATCCTAGGGTGACTGAGAGCTATAAGGACAGAAGGAAATATTACTTTATTCTTCTACAGGTTCTTGAGAGTAAAATGTATACTTCATGCTATCTGGTCGTTAGGGAGTATTGCTAGATGCCACCCTTGATTAGTATATTGATACGGTCAATTTACTACTGGTTTAGTATTAAATCTATGGGGTCGCACACTAACGAGTGTTCTGATCTTTGCTAAAGGATTAATTAACTTATTATTTGACAATTGAGTTAAAGAATTTAATTAGTCAAATAGATAAAGTTATTAGTTCAAATGAAATATTATTATATTCTTTGCTAGCATAGAGGATATAATTAATATTGTGAACAAATTGAAGTTTTTTATTTGGAATAGAAATTAAATCTCTTGATTAAAATATATATGTAATATATATTATTAATACTTATTTTATATAAAATATGTTATATAAAATATTAATAAAAATAAAGATTGTTGGAAACTTATTATGTGAAATCCAATTGAAATTTGGTTTCACGTATATAGTCCCAAGAAGGATGTTCGGATAATTCAAGCCATTTGGAATGGGATTTGAATTCTTTATTAGGAGAAACTAATAAGTTAGATTCCAATGTTTGGAATTGAACTTCATGGAAAGTCCATGAAAGTCGTCACTGAAGTTACCCGTTTAGAATGGGATTTTGATTTTCCTTAAAAATATTCCATCAAGTTTATTTTTGGAATAAACTTTTACCTTAAGTAAATCGTTACCTCAACCAAATAAGAAAAAAGGGTTTATAAGTGATGCTATATATAAAAGGTGATGAAGAAAATTTGTGGGACTAAGTCTTGAGAAGAAAAATCACTTTGTGAAAGTGAGAGTGCAATACAAAGCCAAGAGAGAAAATACAATTACAAGAAAAGCATTTCTTGTTCTTTTAATTTGAGTTGAGATTTTTGAGAAAAATTTCAGCATAAATTTTTCGTTCAATTTGTTCGCGGGTTTCATTGATCAAAGAGTTGATAGCAAGGATCGGTCTCGGTGTGGATACACATAGAGTCTTCGCACTATTGAAGAAATTTTGAAACGAGACTCTCTTCACCAGGTATGTCTTAGATCCGATTTTGACATGTAAATAAATTTTAAACACGAACGGATCTTCCTAGGATTGTTATTGTCTTCCGCTGCGTGTTACGAACACATATATGCAATACTATAGTGGTATCAGAGCCATGATTTCTCGTGTCTAAAATTTATTTACGAAATATTTTAAGATTATATTTGAAGAGTTCAAACCATAATACTTTTGTCATGTGCAATAGTCAAATTGTTTGAATACATATGGATTGATATTATTTTATTGTGCATAAAATATGTATACATATAAATTAAACTATTGAGATAGTTCTTAACTTAAATTTAAAATTTTGTATTATATACGACGGTAATCTATAGTAGGTTATTAGATTCTACTGTTATTTTAATTGTTATTAGTTCATGAGATGTTAATTAATATTAATATTCTGGCATGGATTCTTTTTATGTGATATATATGATAAACATGTTAGAAGTATGTTGGATTTCGTTTTTATGTCACATGCTTGTTCGTTACATAATTTTGAATTGTTACATGTGATGTAAATTAATTTAGGACTAAGCATGTAGACAACTTAAACTAAATTCATGTGCTATAAAAGATGTGATTATCATGTTATTAAAAGTTATTTTAATAACAATTTCCTCCTACTAAAATTTAAGTTCTTTAATAATAAAATATAAGATATTTTATTGTAAAGCTATCCATCAAAATAAATAATTTTATTTGTTTCTTGTTTATAAGGAGCGACCTCACAACCAGGAGACTGTTCGAGAATATGTAAAAATTATTTATTGCATTAGATTTGAAAGAATTGTTTAATTTATACTAGACGCTTGGACTACCCGGGGGGAGTATAAAATTTAATAAGTTCTTTGCCATCAGAATGGTTGAACTCAACTATGCCAATAGGATCGACCTGACTACCAGAGGACTATTTGACATAAAGCTATTTAAGGAAGTTGTATAGAGATACAATTGGTAAGAGTACCTACCTTTAGAATATATGTGAGAAACGATTTGACTTCAAATGGGCTCATACATATTGTTAAAGGATTCCTCTACTCCACTAACAGAGATAGAGTTTCTTAAACTATAATGATGGTAAATAGTTTAAAATAATTAATGAAAATATCATTTAGATAAAAGTCTATGTCTTTATGATATATTTAAATATGTTCTTATATTATTACCTTTTCTTTTCTATATTTTAGATTTCTCAATATGCCTGTTATATAACTGCGTGAAATACTTGAGACCAACACGTTGGTATGACCAAACTTTTATGGCTGGTATAGAAATTTGAGAATTATTCTCATGCATGAAATACTCATTGATGTGATCGATAAGCTGCAAAGATAATCTCACCAGAGAATGATGTTCAAGGCACTAAGGTTTATCAGAAACACTTGGAAGAATGCCTTGCTATTAAACGCATCATTCTTGCTTCTATGAGTTCTGAACTCCAAAGGAAACATCAGAATATGGATCCAACTGCAATCATTGAATATCTTAAGAAGATGGTTGATACACAGTTGGATATTGAAAACTCTCCAGTTGGACCCCTTGTCAATCATGTGATTGTTCTTACCGAAGAACATGAGAAGTTGGGGTACAAGGTTGGTAAAAAGCTTTCTGAAGATTTGATCTTGCGGTCAGTATATGATG